CGGCCAAAAACCAGAACAAAGACAAGTACTGTCATTTCCATAAGGATATTGGCCATGACACCAATGACTGCTATAGCCTCAAGCGGTTGTTGGACAGATTGGTTGATAAGGGGGTGTTAAAGTCCTACATCTTGAAGTCCAAGGTGACCGTGAAGGCGGATCCTAGGCAGCCATCAAAGAAGTCAGCAAAGGCTGATAGTGGCTCGGACACAAATTCGGACACCATCTGCACTAATGCAGGCGGCTTTGCCTGTGGAGGCCCAACCATCAACGACACCAAGGACCATGTTAGGCAGATGGATGTCAGCTCGTTCGATGAAGGCCAGATGTTTGCCGTTACATTTCTTGAGGTCGTCATTTTTGAAAAGGACCGGGCAAATTCCGCCAGCCGCATGACGACCCCATTGTCATCGAATGTAAGGTGGCCAACCAAAAGGTTGGTCGGATCCTTATTGATACAGGTAGCTCGTTTGACATTATTAGCTAGAACTGTCTGTCCAAGCTGAAGTATAAGCTGGGCAGCATGCACAAGGTCACTCACCCCTTGGTTGGTTTTGGGGGTGGAGTTGTGCACCTGCTCGGCCGGATTGATCTACCCATCCGACCGGGGGAGAGAGGGCAAGGGCGCAATATGGTCGTCCGGTTCTTGGTCATGAAGGAGCTGACCGCCTATAATCTCATCATAGGTCGTCCGACCCTGAACGAATCCAAGGCCGTCATTATCCCATCCCTCACGCTCCTGAAATTTGAAAAAGATGATGGTTCCGTTGGCTCCCTAAATGGAGTTCAAAAGACGGCTCGAGAGTGCTATCTCTCAGACGTCAAGCCTACGATAGTTAGCCGAGATGTGAAGCAAATAGACCTTGACGATGTCAAGGAATCTGAGTCTGCCCCACCAGTAGGCAGGAAAAAGAGAAAGGCTGACCAGGTGGTGACTGTCAAGAAAGAGAAGCAATAACAATCACTGACCGGAGAACGGTAAGATGAACTCCGTCCCCAGCCGGCTGGTGAACACATTGATATAGTTCTGGATGACAAACGTCTAGAGCGTACTGTTAAGGTGGGGAAGGTTGCTTTTGCAAAGTTAGGGGCAGACTTACACAACTTACTGAAAGAATTCCAGGACATTTTTTCCTTTGAAGTGGAAGAGATGCCAGGCATCAGCCCAAATCTCGCTGTACACAAACTCGCCGTGGATCCAAAAAAGAAGCCTGTCAGGCAAAAGAAAAGAAATCACGGCGAGGAAAGATCTCAGGCGGCAGCCGCCGAGGATAAGAAGTTGTTAGACGCTGGGTTCATTCGGCAATGTCACTTGTCAGATTGGGTTGCGAATATTGTTCTTGTAAAGAAGTCGAATAAGACCTGGCGCATGTGTGTTGATTATACTGATCTGAACAAGGCATGTCCGAAGGATAGTTATCCAATTCCAAAGATTGACAGTTTGGTCGACTCTACAGCCGGACATGCTTTGATGAGTTTCATGGACGCCTATTCAGGCTTTCATCAAATACCCCTGTAGAAGAAAGATCAAGAGAAGACAGCATTCGCCACTGATCAGGGTTATATTTTGTTAAACAGTGATGTTGTTTGGCTTGAAGAATGCGCCTGCTATTTTCCAATGAATGATTAATACGGTCTTCGTTAATCAAATCGTAAGAAATGTAAAGGGGTACATTAATGATATGATAGTAAAATCCAAGCTACAGACGAATCATCTTGCTGACCTCTGAGAAACCTTCACCACACTCAGACCCAGAGAAATGTAGCAGTGCGTCTTTGGTGTTGGGTTTGGCAAATTTCACGGATTACTGATTGATCAAGGGGGGATAGAGGCAAATCCAAAGAAGATACAAGCGGTCATTGACATGAAGTCACCCCGCACTGTTGATGAGTGGCATTTATGCCACTATTTCACCCATTTTCACTAATGATTTTCCCTCATTTGTCACTTGTTTGCGCCTTCTTTATCTGTTTTTACCTTTGTTTTGGTTACTTCTGTTCTTCTCGTGTTTTTCCTCTTCTTTTATGTTTTCTTTTGTTTTATTTCTTTTCTTTGTTGACTTTGAAGGTTTTTGGCACCTTAGGATGAAGTTAAAGGAGCTAATGGGGCCAAGGAAAAAGAGGAGATGCTTAAGAGCGCGGGCGCGCATAGGGAGCCGCGGGTGTTTCGGGGTTTTTTATGTGTCCTGCGGGAGAGTTACAACACCGAGACTGACCACCGGCTGCTTGTACCTGCAAAACAACGGAGACTCCCGAGGGAGTTCCGCCTTCGACGATCAAGTTAGAACGTGTATGAGGAGTATATTGCAGAATGTAAATACTTCTCTCGATTCAGAGAGAATTCTGCAATGAATATTGCTCGGTTTTTGTGTGGATTGAATGTGTATTCAATGTATCTCTTATAAATGAGGATGGTTCCTCTATTTATAGGGAAGGGGATCAGTTCCCCTTCTAGGATTTTGGTGACACGTGTCAGCAGAGGGTTGGATCCCTTTGGGCCTCTCCGAGGTTGACACGTGTCAGCAGGCTATTGGGACATGTGTTGTATTAAGAGCGCGGGCGCGCACAGGATGAATTGGAGCTCATCTTTAGAGCCTGTAGAAGGCTGGCCGCGCCCATGGAGAGGGCTCTCCCCTGCCACCTGCGGGCGCAGCTCACAAGGCCGCGAGCGCGACAATTCATGGCTTTGTTTCCCTGTTTCCCAGCCGCGACCTTTCCCCAACTAGGAGAGGGCTCTCCATCAGAATGTCGCGGGCGCGGCTTCATGGGTTTGGCATCTCCGTACCCAGCTTGGAGAGGGCGCGACATTGTTTGAGAGGGCTCTCCTTAGTTCGTTATATCCGGTTTCTTTAAGCACTATATGGTGAGGCTATTTTTTCCAATAATAATTAGAATTTTGTAGTGAGAGAAACTCTAGTATTTTAGAGAGAGAAAGTTGTTTAATCTTCAAGTTTCATCATTGTAATCAAGATTTTTTTCAAGTTTTCCTCAATTCAATGCAAGTATTTCATGTTTTCTTCATCAATCAAGCTTCATAGTAGTAATCTCCTTACTCTTACCTTTTGTTTGGTTTAATTGCTTTTGATAGTGTTGATTTCCATCTATTGCCTTGATTTTACTTTTTTGATTGCTTTTTCCTTGAATTTGAATCATGTTTAGCTTTGCTAAGATTGAATCCATGCTTAGTATAGTTGTGATGGCTATTTTCTCTTCTCTAGCTTAGATTACTAGCTAGGGAAAGGGGCGAAAATCATGATTGATTGGGATTAAATTGATGATTGATTGGATTTAGCCTTGAGTTGATGATTTTGTGCTTAAATTGCTTGGAGTTATTGATGTGCACCTTTAATTCTAATATTTGAGTTCTAAATTAGATGTATGGGAATGGTCTAGTTTAGTTTTGATCTATTTCATCAATTTGCTTGACTAATTGCATGAGAATGAATTATTTAAGTAGAATTTTTATTCCTTGGTATGAATCCATGTTGATTATCATTGTTGTCTTAGTTAATCATGATTGGAACCCCCTCTCCCTAGTGTTTTGATCATATTTCTCTCAAATCTAGTTTTCCATCCTTATTTTAGTGTTTCTAGTTTGAACTATCTCATTTTGCTTGCTTTAATATTTGATTGTGCAATGCCCCGGAGATGGTTCGCCTTGTTACTATCTATAACCAATCTCTCTATATACAACAGATCAATCTAGTAGATAATTTGATCATAGAAATTCACGAAAACAATCAAAATACCCCTTGTTACTTGCAATAGATTCTTAATTCCACTTTGATTGTGCAATGCCCCAGATGTGATCGGCGGGAAGATAGATTGTGGTGGCTGTTATGGATTTCGGGTGGTAGTGGTTGTTGTGATGGTGATACTGAGTAGATATGAAATTCTAATTATTGGAATTTTAATTTAATTACTAGGGATTCCGGCGTGCGCGATACGCGCTATGGCTAGTATTTTAAAATGAGTTTTTACAATTGGCCCTAATGTATTTGCATGGTAATTTATTATAACTATTTGCATAAAGACTAAAAATGTGGTAGAATATTCTTCGAAACTTTAATTTATATTTAGTGAGGAAGTGACAAAAATTATCGTGTTCTAGAAATGTAAATGTTTAATATACTGTTATCATTTTTTTTTTTTAAGGCTGAATACTACTACCTAAGGGTACTTATTAAAGAAAGGTTGTATAAATACGAAAAAAGAACTTCTTAAACTTATAGATGGGGGGAAAATATATAAACAAACATTTTATGTAAGAAAAATAGAGCTTCTTAAACTTATAAATGGAGGCATATATGTAAACAAACATATTTAGTGGTATAAATGTCTGCATAATATTTGTAGGAGCTCTCTCCTACTTTTTAAAAGGTAAGGATTTTTGAAAAAAAAAGTTGCAAAAAATTACCTTTATTGCCACATAATATACATAGCTTATTCATATCAGGCTAATAAATGGGGGTGGCTTCTCACTAGACCTAACCAATGTTAGCATGACCCGACCCGACCCGATTTTGATCGGGTTTTGGACAGAGTTTTTCGGCCTGAAATCGAGTTGGGCCCGGTCCGCTCGATTTTTTTTTTTGAACGGGTTTGGGAATGCGATTTTATGTATTTTTATTTGATTTTTTTTGTCCGACCTGACAATGGACCGAAAAACCCGCACGGCCCGACCAGTTTGGGCGGTTTTGAATACAAAATTACAGCCGAAGCTTGGCCCGAACCGGCCCGAGAAGTGGCTGATTTTTTTTGACAGCGGTCCAGCCCGTATCCTACCCGCCCTGCCCAATGATTATCTCTATCTCTCACGTTGCGATACATTACAAAGTCAACAAGTTGACCGGCCGCTCCTACTCCATATGATTAATTACATCTTACCGTTGAAACCTTGCATCCAACGGTAATAATAAGCTAAGCAACTGTACGCCAACAACAATCAGCAATTACAACAATATTAATAAATTAATTAATAACACAAAAAACGTCAGCTCAACCCACTTCTGAAAAATTTGAGAAAGTTTTGACAACATTTCAGATATTAACAACTTTGTTACGACTCTTTAGCTCAATACCTTAACTGCCACTCTTGAATTTACCTTCTCCACAAAGTAGCTTACAAATTCTGCAATCTAATGGAGCCTTTTAAAGGTAAATTATCTTAATTTTGACCAATTTTTATGTTTATTTGATGATTTAAAACTGCCTGATTATGAGCTTTTTTTGCTGTTGAATTAATGTTGCATTAGCTTATGCTCAGAATCAGTAAAATTGGTTTTTTTTTTTTTTTTGGTTATGATTTTTCTTGTTTTTTCCTAATTAGAATTGTGGATATTGGGTGTTAATTATAGTACAGAATTTTTTCTAGGTTATGCTTATTTTGGTATTTTGTTAACAAAAATCAGGTATTGAAGCTGAAATTGGAAGACATATGAAAGAGAAATGAAGTGGGTTTTGGAAATTTTATTGGACTTTTATAGTGGGCAATTGGGATTTTGATTATCTGGAGAAATGAAGTGGGTATTAGTGATTTTGATTTTAGTTGGTTATTCATATTTCTGCACAATTTTGGGTTCAACTAATGTAACAAATTGTCCTGTGGATCTAGACTATGTTGTAAAACTCCGATGGAATACGTCGGCGTGCCATGGAAATAGTTCAGGAAGTAATCCAAGAACAGGTTGTTGCCAAGCCCTTTTGAGTTTAATGGGAATAGCTCTTTCCCATAATCTTAATCAGACTTCCCTCTTTGGATTTCGAGATTATCCGACTTCGGTATCTTGCCTCTCAGATTTCCAATCCAAGCTTGATTCTATGTCTCTAGCCCCAAATTTGACCTCTAAGTGTTTTGATCCTGAGCAATTTGTGATCACTCCTGATGTTTGTGCTGGCATTGTTACCATCCGAAATTGGACTGATAAGCTTGGAAGTGATAATTCTTTAGATCAAGTTTGTGGATCTGACCTCTCTGATCTCACTGCCTGTGAAACCTGCTATGCTGCTGGTACGAGAATCCAAAATCAGTTGATTGCCATTGATGGGAACAGCTCACATGCTCGAGATTGCTTTTACTTCACTATTCTTTATGTTGCTGGGATAATCAATAAACTTGGCCCTGAAAATGCTGGAACAACTTCATGTGTTTTTCAGCTTCAATTACTTCCGTCAGCTGGGTCTCATGGTGTGAGACATTTGAAGCTGCATCTGGGATTAATCGGTGCTGCTACTGCAGTGTTTTTAGTAATTTGCCTCTTAGGTTTGTACTTTTGGTATTACAAGAAACAGCAGAAGAAACCTAAGATGGAAGTTGATGCAAATCAAGAAAGTAGACCTAGAATGCGGCCTAACACTGGTGCAATATGGTTTAAAATTGAAGACCTTGAGAGGGCAACTAACAACTTCTCGCAGAAGAATTTTATTGGGCGTGGTGGTTTTGGGATGGTTTACAAGGGAACCTTACCAGATGGGACAATAGTTGCTGTCAAGAGGCTAACTGAACCCAATTTTGAAAGGGATTCTGATTTTCAAAATGAGGTTGAGATTATAAGCAACCTGAGGCATCGAAATCTGGTACCACTTAAAGGATGTTGCATGGTTGATGAAACTGTGAGTGCTGATGATTATGGAGGAAAACAGAGATATCTTGTTTATGAATACATGCTGAATGGCAATCTTGATGACCATCTCTTTCAGAATCCAACAAACCAAAGTGGGCCACTCAGAAAATCCTTAACATGGCCCCAAAGAAAGTGCATAATATTGGATGTGGCAAGGGGGTTAGCTTATCTCCATCATGGAATAAAACCTGCAATATACCATCGGGACATCAAGGCTACAAACATTCTCTTAGGTTCAGATATGCGAGCAAGGGTGGCTGATTTTGGATTGGCAAAAGAAATTAAAGAAGGGCATTCTCATCTCACTACCAGAGTAGCAGGCACACATGGCTATTTGGCCCCGGAATATGCACTTTATGGGCAGCTAACTGAGAAGAGCGATGTCTACAGTTTCGGAGTGGTTGTTTTAGAGATAATGTGTGGGAGAAGGGCCCTTGATCTGTCAGCTTTAGGGTCCTCTGCCACTGTTTTAATAACAGATTGGGCTTGGTCTTTGGTTAAAGAAGGAAAATCAGAAGAGGTTCTTGACTCATTCTTGTTGAGAGAAGGGGATAACTCGGAGCTGAATCCAAGGGGAATTATGGAACGATTTGTACGTGTTGGTATTCTGTGTGCTCATGTCATGGTTGCACTAAGACCTACAATCTCAGATGCACTGAAAATGCTGGAAGGTGATATTGAAGTTCCTCAAATTCCAGACCGGCCCATGCCTTTTGGGCATCCATCTTTCCACAGGGATGGTAACCCGTACAGCATATCGCCAGGCTTGAGTGGGCTGCATTTAAATTCTGGTGAGACGCTTAGATAAGTAAGATATATAGATAAGTATGAGCTCCAAGGGGAAAGTAATTCTGATCGGCGCATGTCTAGATAGCGAAGTGGACTCTACAGTGACTTTATCGGTAAAATTGATTGCTACATTTCTTATGAAAGCGTTCCAAACTTCTCTTAAGAATAGTGATCCTTTTAATTTCAAAGTCACTGTTGTCTGCTCTATACAGGATGCTGATGGCAGAGACAATTATGTGGAATCTGTGATCCTTAAGAACTATGATATTGATAACTTGTCTGATGCATTTCTTCAAGGTTAGACTGATGCTCTTCTGCATTTGAGATGGTTAAATAATTGCTTTTTTGCGTTCCATGTTAAGTATTTTTGAGGGAAGTATGTTTTTTCTTGTTAGATGTCTTACTTTAAGTAGCTAAATTCCAAAGCATCTTTAAGTGTTTTGGACAGTTATCCACATGATATAGTACTTTATGGCACCTAAATGTCATGTTTATGCCCTTGATGTTTAGGCAGTCTGTTTTCGTACTGTAGTAGACTATTGAAAGCAAGTCGTCTTAGGCTGGATCCACCTTGGACTATGATACCAGGATTGCCAATTTAATGACTCAATGATCGAGATCTGAGGGCAAATTTTCTTATGGACAGTTACATTACACTGTAATTCTTTTCTTAATGCTAAGGAGTAGTATTAAATACAGACGTCTTTGAGTTGATTTATATGTTGCAACAATATACATTTTTTGAGCTGATTTAGAGCATCCAAACAATGGATATAAACTGCAGAAGAACTGAAAATGAATAAAAAAAGCAAAAAAATGGATTGAAGAATTGAAAGACAATAGAGGATTGGTGGCTATTTTTTACTTTCAAAGGAGCAATAATCCTTCAATATCCTGCAGATTGTTTAGTTCCTCAGATCAAATACGGCAATTCTCAGGGAGATCTAGCTCTTAGGCCACCTTCCCAATTTGTTGGACCACCCTAAATGGACCATAGGACCGAGGTGCTAACTTCTCACAGGACCTTTTTGCCAGAGATTTCTTCTTGTAAGGCTGTATCTTCAAGTATACCCCTACTCCCACACTAAACTCTTCATCTCTTCTCTTCTTATTAGCATTGTTGACAGACTGAACAGACCGGGCTGAACCACACTCAGCTATGTGAATACTAGCACCGTTGACAAACCGAGCATTGTTTCACATAGCTCCCAATGTCTTTTCTCATACTCATCTAATACCACTCAGCTTCGATTCTCAAATAGGTCTTAGTTTCTCCTGGTGCCCTGATACAGGAGTGTCATGGTATTCTCTCAGTAATTTCAGGATGAGAGTCGTATGTCTGGGAATGACCACTCTCCCTCAGAACATTAGTCTGCCACCTTCACACGAATAGCCCTGATTTCCTTCCTCGCCTGCCATCACTTCTGCTGAATTTTGCCCAGTTCAGAATTGCTTTGAACCTCCTTTCTCAACTTGTCCCAATCCATCCCCCCTGTAATGTGATGAAGGCTACCAACTGAACCACTTCACCTCCCTTCCTTGACAAGGCGTCTACCACCCTATTTCTTGCACCAGGTTTATAGTGTATTTTGAAGTTGCAGGCTTAATTCCTCACATTCTGGAACAATTAAGCCCTTAACTAGCCTCCCATTCTGGAATAGTTGAGGGCTTAATTATACCAGCTACTAGCATCTCACAAATAAGACCATGCCCATGTATGGAGTGTTCATGCCACCAAATGGGAGGCAACACTTCTGGCTATTGAAAACCCCCCTGGTATTCTTCAATCACCCCTCTTAACCAGCTCGGTAATCCATGTTCTGCCCTGCATCTCCCTGCCCTCCCTCACTCACCCCCACCATATTAATCTCCAGCCACTCTCCCTGATTATTTTTTTTTATTTTTTAAAACTAGCTATCCATCTTGACATGCCCATTTCCGTAACCTCCATCTTGTTAATAGTATGATCTAATTAATTTCAGGTGGGTTTGATGAAGTACGAAGGAAAACTAGGACTTTTTCATACGAATCTTAACCTGCTCATTAAAAACAGGCTCAGGTAATTATAATAAAGTGACTTCTTTTGGAAATTCCCTAATCAAATTAATTATGCAATTGTGTTTTTTTCCTGCCCAAATTAGGAAGCATGGCCGTGGTTGTGGATCAGATGGTGGTGGGCTTATACATGTGGATGAGATACAACGCACTAAGTTGACATGATTTTTGTGTATGTCTCTATTACTATCTTTCCCTTCCCTACTGTAAAAAACTATGTGCATTTAGTTTGCTTGGGGAATATTCTTTAAGGGATCTACCTTTCTAAATAATACTTCTTGATGGATCTACCTTAAACTATTTAGCAGATTTACGAACAATATAGTCAACCTTAGCTAACCTTCATGGGTGTTTTCAGAAGAAGAAAAAAAAAAAAAAAAAAAAAAAAAAAAAAAAAACCAAAAATTTTCAGGAAAATATCCTTCTCATCTCTTTCTCCCAATTGCAGTCTTGCCATCTGTTTTCCAAGTTGTTTCTCGCTCTCTAAAAGTCTATTATTTCTGTTTTCCCTCAATTATTTCTGGTAATGACCTTTTCAGTATTTTATTTCTGTTATGTTGTTGATGTTGCATTGAATTGGGGTTATGCGTCTAAAGCCACAAATTTGGAGTTGACCTGAAGTTGGTGAATCTTATCAGTCATGGGATGGCTAAATGGCTTGCTTGTTCTAGTATGACATTTCTCCCTGACCATTTTAACCCTGAAAAAGTTTATTTACATTTTTGCCCCCATTTTATATTTTGATACCTTTGGCCTTTCCTTCCTTTCTTCTCTGTGTGTTTCTGACTGCTCATATTTTGAAACAGGTTGCAACTACTTGCAAGTGCTGAAGGCCAGAAAGACAAACATGGTGGTGGCGGATTCTTCTCAGCTCTCAGAAGAGGTCATCACTAAGTCACAGCAAGGTTTCTGCTGCATTGAGTGTTAACTCCTCGTACTAATTTCTGCATATGCCTTTTGTCCATATTATAGTGTACAGTGATTTGTCAATACGGCTTATACAACACTAGGGTTGCTTTTATGTCACCTAAGAAGTAAACCATATTCTTTATACTATCGCCGACACCTGCGTTAGTGCCTCGTCTGCAAATTGCATCCATAGAGATTAGAGAAGGGGCATAATGAGTTAGTTTTTTGTAACTTTGTTAAACCTTCTACGGCCACTTGAAGAAATGAAATTTTCTATGAAGATGGTGAAGACTCATTTCTAATACATAAACTTTCTAACAAAAAAAAAAAAAAAAAAAAAAAAAAACCGACTTAATTATGTGAATACTTGCAGATATGTCTTTCGATTGCTCAAATGCAAAGCTCTCATATCAAAATAAGTTAGCATATAATAATATTATGTAAACTAACACAAACCTATGAAACTACTTCGGGCCAAAAATCGAACATGGAAAAATCCGAAGTGTCCTTTAGTCGAAACATTGATCTGGAAAAGAAAAATATGCTTCAATCGAAGTTATCATTTAAGGCCATCGAAGGACATAAGAAATACCTTGGCCTCCCGACTTACCTCGGGAGTTCAAAGAAACACATTTTTTCCATCATTCAAGATAAGGTTTGGAAGAAGTTGAAGCGGTGGAAAGGAGGCTATCTTTCTCAAGCGGGGCAGGAAATTCTTATTAAGTCCATTGCTCATGCCATTCCGACTTATGCAATGGAATGCTTCATTCTCCCCTCTAGCATTCTCAAGGAAATTGAAAAAATGTGTCTTAATTTTTTCTGCAGTCAACGAAATAATGAGCACAAGACTGCCTGGGTTGCGTGGGAAAAGCTGAATTTTTCTAAGAGAGATGGGGGGCTGGGTATGCGTGATCTGTCAGTCTTTAATAAGGCTATGCTTGCAAAACAGGTCTGTCGTTTGCTCAACAAGCCGAACTCCCTTATGTCTAAAACTCTGAAACAGAAATACTTTCCAAATTGTGAGCTCATGGAGGCCAAAGTGAACACAAATGTTAGTTATACCTGGAGATCTCTGATGTCGGCTCGTGGTGTCATTGCTAGAGGTGCGCGCAAGCTGGTTGGTAATGGCAACACGGTTGAGATTTGGAAAGACCCTTGGGTCCCAAATTTGCCTAACTTTAAAGCTCTACAGCGTCTGCATCTTCCTGACGATGCTCCGAAATTGGTGGCTGAACTTTTCTGTAATGGGGAGTGGGATCAGGACCGTCTCAGGGAGCATTTTTCTGCTTGGGAGGTGAGGGAAATTCTGAAAATTCCGGTTGCTCACCAGGGAGTTGAGGATGGCTGGACGTGGCACTTTACAAAGAATGGGGAGTTTTCGGTGCGTAGTGCGAGCTGTCTGCTAGAAGAGACAACAGGGCCAACTACTTTAACTATTCCCAACAAAACCACCTGGTCATTACTTTGGTATGCTAGAGTCCCACCAAAAATCAAGCATTTTGGGTGGAGATCTCTGCACAATGGTCTTCCTGTGTGTTATAATCTGAAAAGGAGAGGTATCTGCAGCTCTGATGTGTGTCCTGTGCGTGGTGAGTTTTCTGAAAGTAGTGCTCATGCTCTTATCTTCTGTATCCATGCAAAAAATGTGTGGTATCTCTCCCCTCTCAGGCTGGCTGCCGAGAGAATAATAAGTTTTCTTTCTTTAACTGGTGCCATTCTTTATTGATGGTGTATAAGGATAAACATTGGTGGGATATTTTCTGGTGTACACTTTGGGGGATTTAGCTAAAACGAAACGCTTGGTGCTCCGATAAGAAAGTGGTTGATGTGGAGTCTGTTATTAACAAAGCTGTGAGCACCGTGGGTGAGTATGATTTGGCTAACTGTCCTCTCCCTACGGAGCTAAGGACCAGACAGGAGGTGCACCACACCTGGTCTCCCCCCTCCCCTGGTTGCTTCAAGCTGAATACAGATGCTGCTGTTTTCAACAATGAGTCTGTTGGTTTGGGTGGTGTGGTTCGTGATAGCTGCGGGGCTGTTATGGTGGCTACTTGCCATAATACAAAATAAAAAATAAAAATAAAATAAAAAATAAATAAAAACAAAACAAAACCGCAAACCATTAAAATACAAAAATAAGAAAAGATGTAAACAAAAGTTGTATTATTGATAGAATCTAAATTAGAATGCTTTTTTGTAGCTATATATATAATGTGCGAAGTATAAGAGATAGATCATAAGCTTGGATCCTGAAGCCACACATATGGTGCATTTGCATAACTATTTTCATAACAATGTTCTGGTTTAATAATGCCATCAAAGCGATGAATATTTTCATCTGTCAAAGTGAAGATGCCAGCGTCACTATTCTCAGGTATCCGATAATCATCAGTAAAATAGATAAGAGTTATGTTTGATACCATGAGCAAAGGATGATGCCTTTACAGAAAAGGATGAGTTCCAACCCACGAAAATCGCTATATCACCCAAGTCAGGAACATGTTTTGCCTCTCCATTGTTAACATTCAGCTCATACACCTTGAATAACATAGTTCGGTAGATTGAGGGGTTGCAGAATTCAGCCCAAACCAATCTAATCACGAGCAACAAGCGATTCTCTGATTCAACCAAGTAGCATTCTATTAGCCTGCAAGTCGAGTAATCTTTAGGGAAAAGGTATCTCGTGAAAACGCGGGTAGGTTCCAGTTTAGCAACAAGCCGCTGGTGAGGACGACCTGTTGATTGGTCAAACTCATAACACCATATATTTCCATAATCGTTGACGCCATAAAAGTTTCCCTTGTAAAAAGTAACATCAAGTTCTTTGTCCGTAAAAACTGTCTGCCATCTTTCACAGCCGTGTCTCCAGAAACAGATGACCCCAGGACCCAGAAAGTTGGGAGCGGGCGCAACTAAGGCGATAGTGAAATCACTAGAGGAGGATGGGTTCCCTGATAGGATGAACTTGAGAATTTCCTTGCCAATAAAGGCATGGTAACGGCCAATCAAGCAGGCAACCTTAGGAAGGTTTATTTTGGCACCGGACATGGGGTTGAGAATAAACAGATTACTTTCTTCGTCAGTAGCACTGGGCAGTAACCATCCATGCGACGATAACAGCCTCGTATTGTAGCCGTGGGGGAACCACAGAGGGAGGTTCACTGTGCGCACTTTGCGGTTACAGAGGCTGTAAAACTGACGTTGCTCCGGCCCACCTTCTTTGCGTCTTGGCAGCATAAGCCATGCCTTGGCTTCATACCCAAACTTGCATTCTTTCGCCCCTCTTCTCCAACTTGAATAAACCAACGCAAAAGCTTCATAGTCTTCTACTTTTTCCAAATGTTCTGCAATCACACTCGCTATTTCGCTGGGTATATTACCCCAATCAGCCATCGACAAGTTATGAATTTTAATTTGTTAGAGATATGTGATATAATCAGTATTTATATTCTTGGCCCGTCAAAACTCTAAATTTAAATCTATCTTATGTCAACCACTAAAATCTTTTCATAAACATATCTTAACATACTCGTCAAAAAAAACAAAAACAAAAAAACTTATCTTTACATAAATATATTATTCTAGTAATAAAACACTTCCTATCCCATATTTGTAACTGTAATATATCTCATATCTTTTTTTTTTTTTTTTTTTTTTTTTTTTTTTTGAAAATAACATATCTTATATCTTTAACATCTTAATGTGTAGATGTGATATCGATTGCACTTAACTATCAATATTATTTTCATAAAATAACATATCTTATATCTTTAACATTTTAATGTGATATCGATTGCACTTAACTATCATTATTATATAATATATCTCATATATCTGTACTTTAATTAACTAAAGATATGATAAAGTTATCATATAAGGGATCTAGGATGTGCTTATACGTGTGATATCAATTAGGCAAAATATGCATATAAATACAATAAATATATTGTTTTTTTTTTTTTGCTTTGACAGAATAAAATATACAGTATTGTTTGTTACATGTGTTTATATTTTCAAAATATTATGAAAACTTTTGTACATTTTTCCCTACTTTTATAAAAGGATATTTTGCTCCAGTTCAAAAAATATATATTTTTTGCAAAATAACACTATAAAAAAGAGGGAAAATGCATGGATTATAACACCACCACCTAAAAAAAAAAAAAAAACCTTATTGATTTCACCACCACTTAACAGATGTCATTCAAAAAACCGTTAGTGACTTAGTGAGCCCCACAACGTATATGGATCACTTATCTATTGATTTTTAAAAAAAAACTAAAAGAAAAATTAAAAAAAAAAAAAAAAAAAAAAAAAACCTAAACCCAAACACAGCCACCACTCCTACCATCAGCCACCCTAACCCCTACCGCCGGCAGCCCCACTACCGCTAAGCACACCTACCGAAATCACCGGCCTTCCCCATCCCAGCCTACCGCCGGCACCACAACCAACTGCTAGAAGCCTATCCCACCCCCGACACACCCTAACCCACCGCCTAAACGCCCTAGCCCATCCCTGAAACATCCCCAGCCCAAGGTTTGTCACCTCACAACCAAAAGATTGTGAGATCAAACTTCACTAGAGGCAATTTGGGGTGGGGATTCCTTACCCTTCCCCTCACTCCCAATTTGTCTAGTAGTACGCTGTACGCTCATTCAAGTTGAGTTGACTTGAGATAGGTTCCGACCCAATAGAGCATTTTTCCTTATCGTTTAAAAAAAATATGAAAATCAAATACAAGATAGGTCGCGAGTGGACATAGTTTATTCAAATGAATCTTTGCTTCTTTGGTTAAAAATATTTGTGTACTAAAAAAAACCAGATTCCAGAAAAATTGACGTACTAATAAAACTTATTTTTAAAGCTGCCTTAAAAAACTGGGATATCTAAAAAGTCCTTAAAAAAATATGGGAATGTTTGGTCTTAAAATCACAGGACAGTCAAGTATAGGGTTACTACCTTCTTCAACCCACAAAAACTGCTCCTACCCAAATCATCACCCTCTTCAAATTCAACCTTTTCAATTAAAATCAAAAAGTGGGTCGAATTTTTTTCAAGTAAAAACCAAGAAAAACCCATCTTTTTGCACTGTTAAGGCATCAACAGAGGGCACAAGCATGTCAATTACAATCGAGAAATTGGGTGTTAAAATTGAAAGGAACCCTCCTGAGTCTAGGCTCTCTGAGCTCGGTGTTCGTGATTGGCCTAAGTATATTTCTCTATCTCTCTTGTTATTTCATGGTTATATCTATGGTAATGTTTTCAATTTTATTATAACTTATTTTCCTTTGTTATATTATTTGGACTCTTCATTATCAATTAATAGTCGTGTTAGAATCCGCACTGTTATGTGGGGTATGAACGCTTCATTTTGGGCTATAATCCCGAAAACATTTCATTGAATAGCCGAGTTTGACATTTGGACACGTATTGGTATTTTGTGAGACTTTGAGTAGGTAGCTATGTCATTTTGAGTTGCTTATGAAGCTTTATGTGTGCAATGTTGAAACACTTTTTGAGGGTTTGGGTGGAATGGGTTTGCATTATTTTTTGGAAATTTCATTCTAGTGAAATTAAGTTTAGTTTTATATGAATGAAATAAATGAAGCTACTGTGTCTGTGTTAGTAATTTGTAAACATGTCAAAATTGGATAGAATATGTAATTTTGAAGTGATACATGTATTTTGGGTTTGAACAAGAGATATTTTTATATTGTATAATTTGTGCATAACATAATTATTCACGATTGATTAATGATTATAGACATGGGAATATGGGATTTTTGAGTAATTGAGCTTATTGATAGAGTTGTTAATCTAGTGCTCTTAGGACCTGTAGTTATGTCTGTTAGGAATCTTAGGATATATGTTGGTGATCTTGGTAATGTTCACTAAAATGAAATTGATCTAGAATATGAGTGTCAATGGTTGTCTTTTTATAAACGGCGCTCCAATGTTTGGATTAAGTGATCAGCATTTCAAGGTAGTAACATTTCTATGAGATTTCTAAAAGTGTCGTTTGACAATAACATCTTTTTTTTTTTTTTTTTGGTTTTTTGTTTGATTCGTTTTGTAGTATTTTATTGCAGATTTTCAGAGATTGAGCATCTCTGGAAACTATTATCATGTATACAGGCTTCAGTTTTGTGTTAACATTATGATCTCAACATTTACTGATCCTTTCATGTCATCAAATACTAATGACTTGTTAGCAATGGTACTCTCATGTGAAGCCTTTATGGCTTATAGAGTCTAGTGTAGACGTTATTGATTAGTCTTTGGATTTACTTTCATTCCCTCAGTGATTAGGCTACTTGTAGTTTTGTCTTGAGTGCATATTTTTTTCCTCTAAAACCATACTCCCTCAAGTCTCATCTGCTCAACGCACCTATATTTAAGAGAGTTTAATAAAATAAATAGATAGTAGGTTTTGCTTGATTAAAGGTGAATATAATAAGAAGAAAATGTGGTTTGGCTGTGGTGAATAAAAGAAGATATTGAGATTTGGTTGATTAAAGATGGATAGAAGAAGAAGATAGTGGAGTTGATTAAAGATTGATTTGAAAAAGAAAAAAAAATAGAAAGAAAGAAAGAAAAAGAGATAGTAGGGTTTGTTTGATGTAAATGTAAATTTTGTAAAACAAATAAGATAGTAGAAAAATATGAGGTTTTACCTTTTAAACAAAAGAATAGATTTTGTAGTGACATGAGACTTTTATTTAGGGACAAAGGGATTATGCAAGAAAGGTGAAGCAGAAAAGAAGAATAACGACATATAGATTGTGTTTTATTAACAATGTGCTAGTAGGCTAAGCCAAGGGGGTGACAATCTTATTAGGATTTGAGGAAGTAATTGTAAAACATGTATATTGATTAGGTTTTGAGGAGTTAAGTGTACAATGCACTTATCGACTATGAGAATACACATACAGACTAGGCCAAAAATAGGAATATAATATAAAGCCAAATCAAGTTGAAATTGTATTATTAATTTTTTGTAGACAGAGGGGATTACTTAATTATTTACTTGAGTATGAGTGTCAATTTTAAGCACTTTAATCTAAATTACTCTACCATTTTCCCAACATAACAAGGAATGTTTGAGTACCAGGAGCTTATTAATTTATAGATTTATGTACAGTTATTTATTTTTGGTTATCATATAATGTTTTTTTCTTTATCATCATATAGGTGGGGTTGTGCTCCTAGTAAGTTTCCTTGGACTTATGAAGCAAAGGAGACTTGCTTTCTGTTGAAAGGAAAGGTGAAGGTTTATCCTGATGGTTCCAGCGAAGCTGTTGAGTTTGGAGCTGGTGATTTGGTGGTGTTCCCAAAAGGTATGAAGTGTACATGGGATGTCTCAGAAACTGTTGATAAGCATTACAACTTTGAGTGAGCTTAGAGATACAAGCCTGTGAGACTGTATGCAAATCCTTTCTAAGCCTCTACATAGAAGGTTTCTTGTATACCCTGATTATACTGTCATTATGTTGGTCAATAATCATGTTAAGACTGCTCTGTTGCTATGGAAGTTATTGAGATCAGTTAAGATATTTGTATTCTACTATTGTGTAATTATGGTGATGTCTTACATCTTTTCATCCTTTCCTAAACAAATATAATGATGAAAATTCTCCCTCTACTCTAGATAAGTCATTTTTAGTGGAAGGCTTAGGATTCAAGAACAGTTAAGGTGAGAGGATGCATAGGAAATATTGTCTTAATCTGGTCAGAAAATCGACCTTTTCTGAACTGAGAGTTACATCCGGACCTTGTTCTGTTCAACTTAGATAAGTTTAAATGAGTTAAGTTCAGACAAATTAAGTTTTATTACAATGAACTTAAGTTATGACACCCAAAAGAAATTTCTGCTGCACTGAATTCTGTTATAGGGAAAATAAGTTCAGAATATAAGTTTGGTTAAGCTCAAATACCATAAACTCAAATAAAAAAAAGTCAAATAGAGCAAAGCTTCTGTTTATTTTCCTTTTTGAGCATGTATATTGCTTTTCTATCTTGCATGCTTGGGGTTATTGAATTGGTCTGCACTCTGCTCCCAACAACAAATCAATGGTCTTACATATTACAAACTAATTTTTAGCTGTACTTTCCGAGTTTCCCCATTTGGTGTTAGAAGAGGGTCAGCATTCCCATCAAACTGGTGAGAGTTATGAGTTTGACATAGAATTTTGTTTTTTTTTTTTTAACTTGACTTGTTCATTAGGCTTCCTAGGTGGTTGAGATGAGTACTGATGAAAGGTAAATTATATAATTCCTTCATAAATTCTTGTTTTGGATGGACTGGAATAAATCCTACTGCAAGCTGAGCTCCAAAGTCAATTGGCTGACGTTAAGAAACAAATCATACACAATATTATAGTTTATTTTATTAGAGAAACAAATCATAAAATAGGCCTTTAACTATCTGCTTTTAGAGCTAAACCTATGGTTTTATCTGTTTAGAATCGTGTTCTGATTATCAGTTATGTGGGCTCAACAAGAACAAAAGTTCTGAGTTAAGAAGGGGGATTACTCTGATATTTTCTGCTGCTTATTTCAAGTCTCTCACGATTGTAGCTGGTAGCATATGCATATCCACAACGTAGTTAAGTAAGCTTTAGTCACTCTGTTGGTTCTCTGAATGAGCAAGTCTGTATATATAATTTTCAGAATTTTGTATTGCTGACCTTTTTCAGCTTTAGTGATTATTGCATGTTTGTGTTAGTTGTATACCTTTTAGCATGTTTCTGGTGCCATAAATTTCCTCACACGCATTAATTTCAATAACACCATGCTTGAACAAGAAAACTACTTGTAAATGTGATTAAGCAAAACGAATTTAGTAATTCCAATGCTATATAAAGATATACTTGATATATAGTATGCAAATTTCAGTACAAAAGTTAAGAGGGAGGGAGTCACCACACATCTGCACTGACTGGTTTTACATAAACTCTCGAGTTCTTTACTAAGCATATACTTGGAGAATATTCCAACTTTAGTAAGCTGGCTATATATTAATGTATGCTACTAATTGATAGTATCTTTATGCTGTATACCCTGCTATTCCCCTTAGGTTGTCTTCATATATTAAGGCCAGGCATATTAGTTTCCATTTTTGGCTGGAGGTTTAATCTGGGTTTTTTGAGCTGGTGTTTGCTTCTTTTCCCTGCTTAGGGATGAGGAACTAGTTTCTGGGGGGAACGGAAATTCTGGAGGAAAAGGAGAGTAAGGTGGGGAAGGAAATTCCGGAGGGAAAGGAGAGTAAGGCGGGGAAGGAAATTCTGGAGGTAAAGGAGAGTAAGGCGGGGTAGGAAATTCTGGAGGGAAAGGAGAGTAAGGCGGGGAAGGAAATTCTGGAGGGAAAGGAGAGTTAGGTGGGGAAGGAAATTCTGGAGGGAAAGGAGAGTAAGGTGGGGAAGGAAATTCTGGAGGAAAAGGAGAATAAGGTGGGGAAGGAGAGTCTAGCGGGGATGGATTTTGAGGTGGGGAGGGAAATTTCGGAGGGAAAGGAGTCTCAGGTGGGGAAGGAGAATAAGGTGGGGAGGGATATTCTGGGGTAAAAGGGAAGTCTGGTGGAGAAGGATTGAAGGAGGATGGTGTCATTGGTGGAAAAGGAGTATTAGACGGGGGTTCACAGGAAGATGTAGGTGTAGGAGCCAATGAGGATTGGACTTTGGGCTGTTTTGTTAATGCCTTGCGTGATGATAGTTTCGCCTCAGCTGCGACTTGGGCAGGAGAACCTAAAAGGATCAGGATTGCAACCAGAAGCAGTTGCACAAGCAGAAAAGAGAAACTGAAGGCACGCGAAGCCATTGTGTTTGGGTATTGTGTTTATCAATCAGTTTGCTGTGTGTTATGTTGTAGGTTACAAGTGTTAGAAGTACCTGTATTTATAAGGGTAGCAAGGTAGACTGATTCAAGGTATGGGTTTCTCTTCTACAAGAGAATTGGAAATATAGATGCATTTGAGTAAATTATGGGGTTTAATGGCCTCAATTTTCTATCTAGTTTGAAAACCATGTTAGAGTTATTTAGTAATTATTCTCATTCTCAAGTCTTAAGCAGGTCTATTACGTTGGTCTTTCCTCTACTGTCTTTTGTTAAGAATTATTGACCTTAGCAAGCATGTTGAAGATAAGAATTCAGATTCAATTACAATCATATATTGTTAATTGATTCCAAATTATGTAAATTTTTTAGTAGGGGACTCGTGGATGTGAGAGGTTTTGAGCTTGAAATTTCACCGGTAATACTTTCGAAAATCAAATAAACGTCCTCTCTCTTGAAGTAATAGTCACATTATTTCAACTCTTTCCATCACTCAATTTTATGTAGTGTATATGACTATAATCTCAAAATGGACAGAATATATGAATAATTAAAAAAAGTTGTTTTAAAAAAACTTTATAAAATTTTACTATTATGCCCCCCGTATGGAATTAATAGTCATACTTTGTGGTGCAGAAAATGCCTCAGTAGCTACTTAAGTTACTCCTGAAATTCTCAGTATTTTAGAGTTAAGCATACATGAAGGACCCAAAGTTTTGGTTTTTTCACCTTTAAAGACCTCATAATTTTATTTTATTTCACCTTTAAGGACCTCATTGGTCAAAAGTTAACCACACTAGTTAGATTAGTGAGTTCTTTAGGTTAAAAAATAAAAGAACAAAAGCTAAACTTTTATAATTTTCACTTATAAGTACTTAACTATTTTTTTCACCTCTACACTTATAAAAAATAAGAAAACTGAAGGCAAAATATTTGTAAGAATATAATGATGTAAAAGCTTAATTTTCATAGTAGATCGATTTCTTGGAAGAACAAGGGGGTAATTTTTGAATTAAAATGCTTGATATTGGTCAAGAGTTCTTTTGTTATTACTTCATAAACTTTGGATAAAAGCAAAAAAATTCATGGAGATATATAACTTGCTATAAGTGTCCAGTATTCGTACAAATATTGATTTTAAAATTATAAGAGTCTATTTTAATATTGTTAATACAAGTGTTGGTTTTAAAATTCTTTGTTAAAATATATTTTTATCAATCTCAAAAAACCCCCCTTCCTCTCACTTCCTTTGTTAGAATAGTGGGTTTAAATTAATTATTAATAGATGTAATTATATAATTAAAGAAGTTTACAATATTTTATTATATATATTTCAATAAATAAGTCAAATTATTCAACAAGAAATACATTTAATTAGCAATAAATCAAGAGGTGCTGCTTATTAGGATAACATAATGGTTTATCAAATATATATATACATATATATACATATATATATATATATATATATATATATATATATATATATATATATATATATATAGTGTGCAAGAGATTGAGTACATTTGTAGGTAATTTATGTTTTATTTCTTTTAACTATAATAGAAAAATCATTAATATTATAATAGCTTAAAATTATAACTATTATGCAACAGGTACTGTTGAATTTTATGTATTTTTTTCCTTTTCTTAATAAACTCAAAAAATACAAATATTACTATATTAACATTTGAAAAGTCAACCTATGGTTAAAGGTGAGTTAAGTGACCAAAAACCTTAACCCAGGTTCTTAAAGGTGAAAAAAATAACCTAAGATCCTTAAAGGTGAAAAATGCAAAAGTTTAGGTCCATTTTATTAGCTTAACTCCAGTATTTTATAATAATCGAAAGTTAGAGATTAGTAAAGGTAAATTGACTAAATTTGAATTATTTAAATCAATTTTTCTTACAATTTTTTTTTTATTATTATTATCTCGAGTGTTTATAAAAAAGATTTAAGGTGACTCATTTTGTTTATATTTTTGACTAAGTCTAATTTAAATTGTTTTTTATTTTTAGGAAAGTTTTTGGTAGAGTATGGGTACAACGAATACAAGAAGACGTATAATATATATTATTTTAAAAAATTACTATTATATTAAATAAGCAAAATAAATAAATAATAAACATGACCTATATTATATTTTAAATTATAAGCAAAATTACTATTATATTATATTATATTATATTCTAATACCAGACTCTATAATCTATATAAACAATTGCTAATGTTTTCTTTTCTCAATTTATATCAATTTTGTTTTTTTTTTTTAATTTTGATTTGATTTTCTTTAATATTTGCACATTTAATTTCAAAGAATTTTTCCGTTGAAGCTATACTTCTCATGTATTTAGAAGCTCACTACGGAGTAGTATTTACCAATTATTCTAGGTTGTTCCACAATTTTTCGCCAAATCGTATGAAGTACTACCTTCGTTTTTTTTAGTTGACACATTTTGACTTTAGCATTAGTCACACACTTTCCTTTGACCGTGTTTGGTGCTTTATACATAATGAAAAATATAGTCATGTGGGATCTTGTTAGATTCGTCACGATATATATTTTCAAAAAATCTACTTTTCATAAATTTTGTTTATCGGTAATTAAAGATATTAATGATTTAATTTGTGCATTGGCAAACGTGACTAAAGAAACGTGTCAACTAAAAAAAACGGAGGAAGTATATCATAAAATGTGCATAATATTTATGCATTGTTTTCTTATATGTAAGAGATATTGTATGCATGTTGTACATACACTAGCTAACATACCCTCCTAGTAGTTCTTTAACCTTATAGGTTCTTAACCTTATATAGTGATTAACTCTCTCTTTTTCAACCAATGTGAGAAACTTACATGTGTTATTTGGTAGGATATACTTCAGTACTCCCCCTCACATGTAAGATCCCTTTAACCTGAGGATCACTTGATCCAATTCAATTTGGCCCACAATACTTAGGCCTCGTTTGGTTGACAAGGGAAATAAATTCCCATAGGAAGTTATATTTCATGGGAAATATTTTTTAAGTTATTTCTTTAAGTTGTTTGGTTGTGCCAATGGAGAGTTGGAATTCCCATGAATTTTGAATAACCAAGGGGGGGGCTAGATAATTTACTTCCTACATTTTGAGGAAAGTTGAAATTCCCATGAATTCCAACTTCCCCCATTTTTGCTTTTCTGTGACAACCAAACAAACCAAAATTACAAAATCCCATGAATTTTCACTTCCCCCATTTTTGCTTTTCTGTGACAACCAAACAAACCAAAATTACAAAATCCCATGAATTTTCACTTCCCCCATTTTGTTTTGTCAACCAAACAACCCCTTAATGTCATTTAAGGTCTCAAACCTTGGGCCTGACAATATACTCAAGCCATTAGAGGTCCCCATATCATGAACCTGGCTCTGATACCATGTTAAATACGGGTTTAGGCCGCACCTGCAAATGAAAAGAGAAAGTCCACTTCACAAATCCAAATGAGGTTACATCCCAAAATCATATAGTAATAAGAGGAGTAGCTCCTTAGCCTTATATAGTGATTACCTATTTTTTTCTTCAACTAATGTGGGATACTTACATGTGTTATTTGGTATGATATAATTCAACATTTTGGCAATTGGTTCTCTTCATATGGTTAATTCAACATACTAATTTAAGTTTTCATCTAGAAGTTTGATCATAGGTTTGTCAATTGGTGTTTGCTTCTTTTCCTTACCGCGGTTGTTTAAACTACAAAATCATTAAAATATTATGGTAATCATATTTCAAACAACTAACATAAAACTTTCATTTAAAGTGAGGTTTTAAAAATATTTCAAAACTGAGCATTCATCCGGGCATAAATTTTCCATCTGATTTGAGAAGTTGAGAGGGACAATTTTCTTTAGTTATGTCTTAAGCAGGTCTAATACGTAGGTCATTCATCTCATTTCTTCATGGAGGATTTCTCTGAGGGATACATTGGCAATGTATAGCATGTTGAGGGCAAGAATTCGCCTTAAATAATTATCGAACAAGTTATGTTGTTTGCAATTTTATACTTGTATGAAATTGTTATTGTAGGACAACTTGACAAGGATTCTTTAATTATATATTTTGTGGTGAAGCAAGGAGAGTTTAAATGGAGGGATAACTAATTCTATGTGTTGCATTTGTTAGCTTGTAATAGAGAGATTACTAATTAAGTACTACGTATGATAGTGTAGGCAATTTGGTCTTATTAGGTGGTCACTAACCCCCCTTGAGGCTAATGGCGTTGAGATAGATTACTCACTAGAACGAATATAAGTTATTACGCATTTGACATTCATGTAAATTTTTAAACATCTCGACTTTTGAAATTCATATACGCAATATAAGTTTTTGAAAGTATTAAATAAGTTATTGGACATATCATTTCTTGGAATGTTATGTAGTACGGAGTATTGATTATTAATGGGTGGATAGACTCTTCCAATACTTTGTGTTTTAACAAGTAAAATACTTTGATTTTTAGCAAATTAAAGTAATAAACTGCAGAAGAAGAAGAAGAGAAGAAAAAAAAAAAAAAAAACCCAAAGAGATAATGATAAATTTTTACACTATTTTTTGTGGATTGCTAAACATCGCCCGCAAATCTCCACATAAAGCCCACAAATCTATATTGAATTTACCTTATTGCCCTAAACCTAAAATTAAAAAATCTAACCCATACCCACACTCTAATCACCCGAAAATACGGCAATGTTGAGGCGGCAAGGCAAGGACTTGGCGGCCACAGCGGCGGAGGGAAGGACGGCTCACGGTGGCAGGGTTTTTTTTTAAATTTTTTTTTTAAAAAAAAAAACAGAAGAGGTGGGGCGCCTGGCCAGGACGCCCAGCCCCTGGTGGTGGCGTCTGCTCCGGCCGCCGGAACCAGGGGGCTGGCGTCTTACCTGGACGCCTAGCCACGGTTGTGGCGTTTTCCAGAGGCGCCACCGCCGTGGCTGGGCGTCCAGGTCAGACGCCAGCCCCCTGGTCCCGGCGGCCGGAGCAGACGCCACCACCAGGGGCTGGGCGTCCTGGCCAGGCGCCCTACCACTTTTTTTTTTTTTTGTTTGTCTAATATTTTTTTTTTGGAAAATCAGAATTCTTTTGTTAATGTTTAATATTTTTG